TTGGGCGGCTGAGGCAGGAGAATTGCTTGATCTGGGAGACAGAGGTTGCAGTGAGCCAAGATTGAGCCATTGCACTCTAGCCTAGGCAACAGAGCAGAACACTGTTTAAAACAAATTTACAGCATATTTAAACATCAAAATTATGAAAAGAGACTGTAGCTAATCTTATTACATGCCAGTTCTTCTGATTGGTTTAAGAATTAAAGTATTTTAACTTTTTTTTTTCATTCTATTTCAGGCTGGTACACCCCTCCAAAGGAAGATGGCTAAATACGTTGACTGTTACATGTCTGGACCAATGTTGCTTTAAAGAAAATCTTTCCAACATGCAGACACAAGCTTTGAGTGCCCCTATTGCAGCAGTACCGAAGACGTTAGTTAATAGATATTTTAGTGGATAATCTGGAAGCTGACATCCAGTAAAAGTTAATAGCCTTTGCATTTTGCTCATTTTAGATATCTTGGACTGAGCAGTGGGGACTTTACTGTATTTTTCCTGATAAATACACATACTGGTCACTCCTTATCATCTCTTTTTCTTGAAAAGTGAACTTTTTAAAGCAGTCAAGTCACCATCAGGCTACTGAAGTCGTGGCTTTAGGGTAACTTTTCTATATTAAGTCCGTGGGTTATAGGATTTGCAATTTATTGTTCCATTTAGAGCCAATACAAGTTTAATCAATGTTCAATATTGGTTTTTGAAAATTTAAGGCCTTCTAAAATCATAGTAGCTCTTTCATGTTTAAAACCATTTTATGATAATGCCAAAATAATGACAGGAAACCTACTCATTAAATTGTTAAACTTTTTATTGACTATGTGAAGATATGAATTGTTCCCTGAAGATAAAATCTTAATTGAGTTATATTGTACTTTTTAGGCAAAGCAGTTAAAACTATGTTAATTAAGGCTTGTGAGTAGTGGTTTCCACTGGGGCTTCAGAGTCTTGCTGGGCTGAATATGCTGCTTGTTGGTTCAGCGTTTCTTATGAAGAAGAGCCACAGGATAGAGCTGAAAGTTATTTAAAATACTGAGTCATCTTTTGTTTCCATTTTATTAACGGGATGTTGCAATCATTTGTAAATTAATAAACTTATAAAGTGATTGGCACAAAGACTCCTTGAGGAAAAGCTGCACAGTTAAGTACAAAAAGATACTTCATTTGGAGATTCTTAGAATAATTTTCACCATAGTCATAAAAATGGCTTTTACACTGAAAGATTAATAGAAACTTTACATATGGTAATTTTTTTTATAGAACCTGACTCAAAGCAAGGTACTCTCCATTTTATTGCCTTACCTGAATCAGTCCTTTTTTGGTTGGTAATAGTTATTTTTAAACACTCAAATTTGATTTAAAAGTAAATTCTAGCTATTAAGCACTTTTAACAAGAAATTCAGAAGCACATTTTTCTGCACAAACCAGTTACAAAGTTCAAAAGTGTTTTCTTATGCATTTGCTTTGAGATTCAGTTTTTTTTAACTTTGTAAACGACATCCAAGAGACTTGGCACTTCTACATTATAGGTGTGTTTAATTTCTTTTGATTCTATTTTGGTTAAGAGGGCAATAAATAGATTTTCTGGTGTCTTTTTCACTTGGTTACATTTGTATGAAGTTCTGAGTGCCAGTTGCTCAGATAACAAGTGACAAGGCAGAATTCTTTAAAGCATTAAAGTTCCTTAAACCTAAGGCTAAATCTTGAATACATTATTGAATTCTTTAATATCTTGATGGCAAGCAGATTGATAGCTGCACATTTGGCATGCTTTGTTTTATGGATTTTATTTTTAATTGCAGATTTTATTTGGCAATCTACAGTAAATTTTGTAAACTTGCATCAAGTTTATGAATAAAGAACTATTTAAACATTTTGTTTGTGCTGATCATAGCAAGCAAAAAAGTACTTTGTCATTTTTCCCACATAAAAAAACTGCTTGATGTGTTTGTAGGCTCTCTTGAGTTTCTGGACTAAGATATTTAAGGAGGGAAGGGGTAAGAGGAGGCTTGGAAGACAGGTGGATTTTTTTTTTTTTTTTTTTTTGAGACGGAGTTTTGCTCTTGTTACCCAGGCTGGAGTGCAATGGCGCGATCTCGGCTCGGCGCGATCTCAGCTCACCGCAACCTCCGCCTCCTGGGTTCAGGCAATTCTCCTGCCTTAGCCTCCTGAGTAGCTGGGATTACAGGCATGCGCCACCATGCCCAGCTAATTTTTTGTATTTTTAGTAGAGACGGGGTTTCACCATGTTGACCAGGATGGTCTCGATCTCTTGACCTCGTGATCCACCCGCCTCGGCCTCCCAAAGTGCTGGGATTACAGGCATAAGCCACTGTGCCCGGCTAAGACAGGCAGATTTAACAAGAGAAAGTGAAAGAACCTAGAAATGGTCTGTACACACTTGGTATAGTCACCTTTTCCTCAGCCTTTTTTTCTCTTCCATTCTCATTACAAATTCAAGTGCTACTTTTTCCTTATGACTATCCCTAGTTCCCACAGTTACAATAATCTGCTCCTCCTCTAGTGTACCCATGGCCTCCTTGCACACAATTGACAGGTTATTTCACATACAAGAAGTCCAGAGGTAGGACAACTCCAGGTAACTGTACATATGGGTTTTGCTCTGCTTCCTTGAGATTTTTTTCTATGTTGGTTTCATCTTTTGGTGGCATATATGCAGCCACATTACTTGATCCAGAGACAGATAATGCCTGCCTTTTAGTATCTCCTTAGGAGGTGAGGAAATCTCTAAAAGCACCATCCCATCAAGCACACTGCCTCTCACTTTTCCTTGGTTAGATCAGGGGCCTGCGCCTACCCCCAAACCAATGGCTGGTGAAAAGAATGAAACCATCATGATTAGTTGCACAAATGGTTCTTAAAGTGTGATTTGGTGGGGAACACTGGAGACCCCTGAGACAATTTTAAGTTTTAAAAGACTATTTTCATAATATTAAAACATTTGCTATTTTCACTCATTCCTTCACGAGTGTACAATGGAGTTTTCCAGAGGCTACGTGATGTAATTTTGCAACAGACTGAATTCAGAAGCAAACAAGAGAATCTACCTGTCTTAAGACAGAAGGAACTATAAACTGTCCTCTTTCCCTACTTTACATCAGCCACAAAGAAAGAATGTCTACTCAGAATGGCAATCGGGTTTCATTCAGTAGCCAGAGAATGGAGAAGGGGAGCTAACCCTCTAAAGGCACCTTTTTCCAGAAGGATGGGAGGCGGGGGAGTTGAAAGAGTTGGCCTAGCGGGGGGCGAGGGGGGGCGGTGGTATGAAGGGCATGCGCAGGCTGGAGTTGCAGACAAGCAGGCCCAGTCCCTGAACATGCTGCTAAGATGCCAGTGATCTTCCTTCAGGGGAGAGGATTTCAGCATTATAATGTTAATGATCCAAAGGTAACTGGAGGTTGCCTGTTTATCTTCTGGTATTTGGCAAGGGGTCAGGAAGCTTTGGTGATAACTAGGCCACCTGGCTTCCTTAAGTAGCTGTGCCTATAGACTTAAAAAAAACTGGCTGGGCTTGGTGGCTCATACCTGGAATCCCAACGCTTTGGGAGGTGGAGGCAGAGGGATATTTTGAGGCCAGGAGTTAGAGACCAGCCTGGGCAACAGAGAGAACTTTCTCTATGTCTACCAAAAAAAAAAAAAAAAAAAAAAAAGCCACAGCTGTTCAAGAGGCTTATACCAGTGACAGTGTCACCCTATTTACCAGTTGCGGGGGGAAGGAAGATTTGGGAAATAGTTGAATTCCACAAAGATATTTTGTTAAGGGGTAACATGTTTTTTAAAAGTATTAAGATGATTTAATTTTTTTAATATGGTAAATATTGATAATCGTAACACAAAACTATTTGGTCGTGTGGATATTTTAGGCGTAAAGGGTCCTGAGGCAATAATGAGAACCGCTAATTTAGACCAAGTTTCTACTCAAGTTCTGGCGATCAAATCAGGGCTCCCTTAGGAAGGAATTGGAGGGAGAAATGGATGTTCGGTGGGGACGCACCCGTGTCTGCTGTGCTTCCATATCTTCTGTGGTTCTCAGTTTGAGCATGCATTAGAATCGCTATAAAGTTTGTTAAAACATAGATTGCTGGACCTCACCCCCAGTGTCTGATTCAGGAGGTCGGGGTTAAGGACTGGGAACATGCCAAAACTTAATAGTTCCCAGGTGAATCAGATGTTACTGGCGGGGAACTGGTGCACAGCTTGGGGCGTGCTTCACTGCAATTATCTTACTTAACTTCCTTAGAATGGCAGGTGCTATTTATGCCATTTTACTCATTCAAAACTTTAAACCTGAAGATGACAACGAGTTAATTAAGTTTACAAGGAATAAAGGCAGTGATTTTCACACACTAAGACAATTTTTTAAAAGCAAACGCTGTCAGTTCAAAAATTGAGTTTATGCTATTTAAACAGGCTTTGGGGTAAGTACTACCTAGTCCCTGCAAGGAATCTGTGAATTAGAGAAAGATGTAGGCTCAGAAATATGGCGGTGCCGGGGAAGTGAGAGGCACAGAGAAAGAATTTATCTTCACTGCAGGAAGCCTCCTAGAAAGTTGCCCAGCACCGTGGCTCATTCATGCCTGTAATTGCAACATCTTGGGAGGCGCAGGCGGGAGGATCGCTTGAGCCCTGGAGTTTGAGACCACCCTGGTAAGCACAGCGAAACCCGTCTCTACAAAAAATACAAAAATTAGCTGGGCATGGTGGCGGGAGTCTGTAGTCCAAGTTACGAGGGAGACTGAGCCAGGAGGCTCGCTTGAGCCTGGGAGGTAGAAGCTACAGTGAGCAGAGGCCGCGCCACTCCACTCCCGCCTTGCCACAGCGAGACCCAATCTTAATGAAAAAAAAAAAAAAAAAAATTTCGGGCGTATTATGGGACGGATAACTTCAACTTCAGAGCAAGGGCTCCAGGACCTGCACCGGAAACACGGTGGCCAGGGGTCGCACCCGCGTTGCCACTCCCACCTTCTCCGTCAGGCGGAAGTGGTGCGGGCGCCTGCTCAGTGCGCGCCGGCCGGGCAATCGTGTGCCGGCGAAACTGGGTCCCTCCGAGCCGCCGTAGGACTGGTTCCGGCGGGCTGGTGAGGAATGGAGCCGGTGGGTGGCTGCGGCGACAGCTGCGGCTCCTCCTCGGTAGACCCACGGAGCACCTTCGTGTTGAGTAACCTGGCGGAGGTGGTGGAGCGTGTGCTCACCTTCCTGCCCGCCAAGGCATTGCTGCGGGTGGCCTGGTGAGGAGGGGAGGCGGGAAGCTTGCACGGGACACGCTGTGGGCATATCCCAGGCTGGCGGGGTGGGGAGAGACCCTGGGGACCCAGGACCACCCCCGGCTCCTTCGCCCTAACTGAGGTGACCTCCACCCGCGAGGTATCTTCCAGCTGTAGAGCCCCCGGGACTTCCCTGAGGAGTGAAGTTCCCCTTAAGGTTTTCTCCACAACTGACCAGCGCCCTGATACCTACTTCCCCCGGGGGCTTCGGTTCCCGCAGAGATCTCTTGCTGCTGCGCCTGCAGGTGGGGGTTTGTGAGCCGTGGGAGAGACGAAAATGAACGTCCGTTCGCGATCTTTTGTGCGTTTGCGTCCCCAGCGTGTGCCGCTTATGGAGAGAGTGTGTGCGCCGAGTGTTGCGGACCCATCGGAGCTTGACCTGGATCTCCGCAGGCCTGGCGGATGCCGGCCACCTGGAGAGGCATTGCTTGGTTCGCGTGGTAGCCGAGGAGCTTGAGGCAAGTAGCAAGGGGTGTCATGCACAGTCAATTGCAGTTTGGTGGTTCAGTCTTTGAGAACTATTTTTTTTTTTAATCCCAGTTTTGTTAATTCAAGGAACATCTCGTGCCGTGAAAAAAATTTGTGAACATTAGTTTTAGTGACTACACTGTAAGAATGTGTCATGATTTATTTGACCGTTCATCAAATGTTGTGCCTTATAATCCACATTTTCCATTGTTTCCGTTGTTTCCATTAACAACAACGATGTGCAGAACCTTATCTCCACCTGCTTCCCTTGAAGCAAGTTTTTGTTGTGTCTGTTTTACTGGGAAGGCAACTGGGTGTGTTTTGCTCAGTGTAGCACACCTAGAAAGCCAAGAACCAAAACTTAAAGCCAAATATTTCAACTCCCGATCCTGTACTCTTTGGCTTCTCTGGCCCCCAACTTCAAAAGGGGAGCCAATACCTGGAGAGGTAAAGACTCGGACTGTGGAGTCAGAGGGGCTGCAGGGTGTACCATCTCTCTGAGGAGTGGGAGGGCGCCATTTGACAGTGAAGTGCCAATCTGATGCTCTGTCATTCTTTTTAGTTTCCTGCGGCTTACAAACATAGCCACGGTGCAGCCGTCATAATCAGGAAATTATCACTGATAGACTTCGTCTGTTTTATCCTCAGACTCGGTTCAGGTTTTGCCAGTTGTCTCAGTAAGGTTCTTCATGGCAAAAAAGGTCTGTTCTCAATTGCAAGTTGCTCTAAATAAGTCATGTTTCTTTAATCTCCTTTGATCTGGAACAGTTTCTCAAGCTTTGCTTGATTTTTCCCAAGCCTGACACTTAGGAAAATTACAGGCTATTTTGTAGAACATCCATCAGTTGGCAGTGTGTGAGGTTTCTTACTAGGTTGTGTTTCTTACTAGGTTTGGCAGGAAATAATCACAGAAGTCATGCTGTGCTCTTTTCACGGCATCCTTTAGGTGGCATGTGATTTCCATTTGTCTCTTTATTGGTGATACTACCTTTGATTACTCGATTAAGGTTGTACCGGCCAAGTCTCTTCACTAAAATCACTTCTGTAATGATTAAGTGTTTTTTGAAGAGATAATTTGAAACTATGTAAGTGTCGTGTTTCCTATTCGTTTATTTATATCTGTACACACTCTCCAAGTCTTATTTCAGTGGGATATAATCTGTTACTGTGAGTATTTATTTTAGTGTTCAGTTTACCCCGGACCCCCAACGCCAGTTTGGCTAGGGGGAGCTCCTTCAGGCTGACCTCATTGTCTTTAGAGATGACTCCTTTATCTTTGACCACTTGTCTGGCACAAGGTGTTCTAAGCTTGTCTTGGGTTTTACCTGCTTGGGTCCTGGCATTGGCCATTTGTCCATGAAACCCTGGCTCCTTTTGATAGAGTGTGATATTTAGCAATCAAGATCTAGATTCTCTAAATGTACTCCTTGCCATTGAAGGATTTGCTGCTCCAAAGCTCAGTCATTAGAGCCAAGGAATATATGTATATACATGCATATGTGTGTATATAATCAGCATATATGTATACACATGTGTACAACTATATTTCTGTGTGGAAACTCATGAGTTCACACAGGTGCAACCTTTCGAATCAAACGCAGGATGCTTTCTAGTTTTGTCTCTGCTCGTATCTGTATCTCCCTTTGGGCAATGGGAAACCTGGTTCTCATCATTCTTAATGTATTTAGGTATTACATCAATGCCCCATACGTAACCAATCTTCTGTTTCCCCCTTCCTTGGGTGGTCTTTCTCCTTACCCTGTTTGGGCTCTGGAACTCTCATCCCAGGGAGCTGGCCAGTATCCAAAGGCAGGCTTGTTAGAAAACTTTTCTTCTCTGGCACTTTGTCCCAACTCTTGCCATCTCTTTCCAGAAGTTTATCATTTGGAAAAATTAAAAGTACAGGCAGACTTTTCCTCAAAAATATTCTCTGGAGCATCATTTATAATAAGAGATACTAAAAAGCTAATGTTAATGTAATGACGTTATTAAATTATAAACTGCAAGTACATTCATGACGAGAAAATGTTGATTTTAAAAGTGAAAAGACTGGGAAATTACATATTTAGTATCATCTGCATTGTTAAAGACAAAAAAGAGAGTAGAAAAGAAAGCCAGAATGTTAGCTTTTGTTTCTATTTAATGTTTTAAAAACTTTTCTCTCCGTTGTCATAGTTTTCAGATTTTTACCCCAGCAGGCATTATTTTCCTGTAGGTTTAAGAGTTTATACATTGTAGTGGCTGTATAGCCGGACAGACTTAGCTGTGAACCCTAGCTTTGGTGTACAGTGGGATGACTTTGAAAACGCTACTTAACCTCTCTGAGCCTCGGGTGCCATCTCCATAAAATGAAAAGAAAAATAATAATTTTCCTGTGCTCTTATAGAGTTGTTGTAAGGATTCAATAATGAAAATGTAATGCATATGACACATTACCTATAGTACAGGGAGTATAAGTGCTCAATAGAGGTCTATTAAATACTTTTATTAGTATCATTATTAAACTTCACAGAGTTCAGTAATGCCCTTAGAGGAGTGCTGCATTGTAGTAAACTGCTGGTGAGACAAACACACGAAAACTCTGCTTAAATCACACTTACTGATTGTGTTTTCCAAGTTATCTAGTGGACAATGGGTACGTTTATAGCCATAAAGAAAGTTGATTTAACTTTTCTATTAAAAATATTTTAAGTCCACTGGGCACAGTGACTCACACCTGAAATCGCAACACTTTGGAAAGCTGAGGCAGGCAGATCACTTGAAGTCAGGAGTTTGAGACCAGCCTGGCCAACATGGTGAAACCCTGTCTCCACTAAAAATATTAATATAAATATTTAAAATATTAAAATATTGAAAAAATATTAAATATATAAATAAAAATATTAAACTACAAAAATATGGGTGTGGTGGTGCAAGTCCACCAAAAGCTTTATAAAACAGCTTGCCATTTGTAACTTCTTTGAACAGTGAAATGTGGTGCTAGCTTTCTTACACTGTGCTTTGAGAACATTTCATATTGAGGCTTGTTATGTCACTGCTTCTAGTGTGAATTAGGAAGGAAAATTCAGCAATTGCTTTTCAGTGGCTGCTAGAAAGGGAAACTCATAAAATCTCAGGACCAGACTTTTAATCAGGAATAGGAAACCTGAGGCCTAAAAGTTTGATGCGGGTTATTTTCCCAGTTTGTGGCCACTGTGACCTAAGACCTAAATCTGGGTGTGTGTGTGTATGTGTTTTGAGACTCTCTCACTCTGTTGCCCAGGCTGGAGTGTGGTGGCCCAATCTCACTGCAACCTCCACCTCCCAGGTTCAAGTGATTTTTCTGCCTCAGCCTCCTGAGTAGCTGGGACTACAGGCATGTGCCACCACACTTGATTAATTTTTGTATTTTTAGTAGAGATGGGGTTTCACCATGTTGGCCAGGCTGGTCTCAAACTCCTGACCTCAGGTGATCTGCTGACCTCAGCTTTCCAAAGTGCTGGTATTAACAGGCATGAGCCACTGGACCTGGCCCCTAAATCTCTTGAGTTCTGTTTCCTTTCCTCATTATACCAGGCATCACAGACTCAGATGACTCGAAGGTCAGGCAGGTAGCTGAAGAGGGTCGGGTAGCTTAACAGAGTGGTAGCACCATGGCAGACTGGAAAGGCTTGCTTCTGTTTAGCCTTAGTTAAGAGGCACATAGTCTAAGTGTTGCCATTGTGTCCAATTTTTAAAAAGAATCTGGAAATCCACATTTATGTAAAAAATATTTTGGAATTTGAACGTTAGCATTCAGTTTATGTTTTTTGAAAATGCTGTGTGGACCAAGGAAACCATATCCGTAGATCTTGGGCAGCCCTGGGCCCTACAGGTTATCATCCTGTCCCTTTTATTAGTTTATATAGAATGTATTCTATATATCCAAACATCTTGGCATTCCCCCAAATTATAATGGACCAACTTTTTTTTTTTCCATTTAACCAATAGTGAGGCTTTGCTATATCCTAAGTACTATATTTTATTTGGTAGTAAAAAAATTTTGAAAATAGCTAGCTTAGAAAAATATCTTCATCCTTTTCATTTAATTCAGCTACTTTGCCACTTGTTTTTAATTGGAAAGTTCAGTTGAAAACAGGTGAGTCTGAATAAGCCCAGCTCATAGGGAAGATAGGGCACAAATAAGATTAACTGCGGGTAAGGGATGTTGCATCTGAGGTCCAGAATACTGGGGGAGTTTAGGGAAAGGTTTTGGAGAGGAGGTGGCGCTTAAGGTGTCTCTAGAGGGAAACAGTCTTAAGTTCCACAGGAAGAGAGCAACAGGAGATTATATGGGGAAGTGGGTGTGTCTGGGTAATGTTAACAGTAAGCTAAGGGGCCCTGAAGGAAACTTGCTGGCAAGGCTGGATATGGAGGCTTGGAGTATTTGATTTGATAACCAGTGAAAAGAGGAGTGATACAGCCTGTATACCTTTCCCAGTTCTGAGATTTTTCTGTTACTGTGATGCCTGTTCAAATAAAGCAAGTGCATCTTTTGCTGGTACTTGATGTTTATGTTCTAAGAGCTTCAATTATTATGAAAGTGAACTTCTTGAGGGCTAGAATGAAGAAATAGGTGCTTAGAACAAAATGAAAATGAAAGAGCATGAGTGAAAAGTAAATGAGAAGTAGATGGACTCAGAATGCCAACATTGATCTGAAAGAAGGTAGAGTACCAGCAGTTTGGACCAGGTGATACTTTTTATTTTTATTTTTTATCATACTTTAAGTTCTGGAATACAGGTACAGAACGTGCCATTTTATTATATAGGTATATATGTGCCATAGTGGTATTTCTCCTAATGCTCTCCCTTCCCTAGCCTCCCACCTCCCAATAGGCCCTGGTGTGTGATGTTCCCCTCCCTGTGGGGAGTGTGTTCTTATTGTTCAGCTCCCACTTATGAGTGAGAACATGTGGTGTTTGGTTTTCTGTTTGTGTGTTAGTTTGCTGAGAATGATGGTTTCCAGCTTTATCCATGCCCCTGCAAAGGACGTGAACTCATCTTTTTTTATGGCTGCATAATATTCCATGGTGTATATATGCCACATTTTCTTTATCCAGTCTGTCATTGATGGGAATTTGGGTTGGTTCCAAGTCTTTGCCATTGTCAACGGTGCTGCAATAAACATGTGTGCGTGTGTCTTTACACTAGAATGATTTATAATCCTTTGGGTATATACCCAAGTAATGGGATTGCTGGATCAAATGGTATTTCTGTTTCTAGGTCCTTGATGAATCACCACGCGGTCTTCCACAATGATTGAACTAATTTACACTCCCACCAATAGTGTAAAAGCATTCCTATTTCTCCACATCCTCTCCAGCATCTGTTGTTTCCTGACTTTTTAATAATCACTATTCTAGCTGGCGTAAGATGGTATCTCATTGTGGTTTTGATTTTCATTTCTCTAATGACCAGTGATGATGAGCCTTTTTTCATATGTTTGTTTGCTGCATAAATGTCTTTTGAGAAATGTCTGTTCATATCTTTTGCCCACTTTTTGATAGGGTTATTTTTTTCTTGTAAATTTGTTTTAAGTTTCTTGTGGATTCTGGATATTAGCTCTTTGGCAGATGGATAGATTACAAAAAGTTTCTCTGATTCTGTAGGTTGCCTGTTCACTCTGATGATAGTTTCTTTTGCTGTGCAGAAGCTCTTTAGTTTAATTAGATCTCATTTTTCAATTTTGGCTTTTGTTGCCCTTTTTTTTGGTGTTTTAGTCATGAAGTCTTTGCCCATGCCTGTGTCCTGCATGGTATTGCCTGGGTTCTTTTCTAGGGTTTTTAGGGTTTTAGGTCTTACGTTGAAATCTTTAATCCATCTTTAGTTAATTTTTGTATAAGGTATAAGGAAGGGGTCCAGTATCAGTTTTCTGCATATGGCTTTTTCCATTTATTAAATAGGAAATCCTTTCCCCATTGCTTTTGTCAGGTTTGTCAAAGATCAGATGGTTGTAGATGTGTGGCATTATTTCTGAGGCCTCTGTTCTGTTCCTTTGGTCTATATATCTGTTTTGGTACCAGTACCATGCTGTTTTGGTTACTGTAGCCTTGTAGTATAATTTGAAGTCAGGTAGCAAGATGCCTCCAGCTTTGTTCTTTTCGCTTAGGATTGTCTTGACTATACAGAGACTCTGTTTTGGTTCTATATGAAATTTAAAGTAGTTTTTTCTACTTCTGTGAAGAAAGTGAATGGTAGCTTGATGGGGATAGCATTGAATTATTGAGTTTTTAGCATGAAGGGGTGTTGAATTTTATCAAAGGCCTTTTCTGCATCTGTTGAGATAATCACGTGGTTTTTGTCATTGGTTCTGTTTATGTGGTAGATTACATGTATTGATTTGCTTGCGTATGTTGAACCAGCCTTGCATTCCAGGGATGAAGCCAACTTGATTGTGGTGGATAAGCTTTTGATGTGCTGCTAGATTCAGTTTGCTGTTTTTTTATTGAGGATTTTCACAGCGATGTTCATCAGGGATATTGGCCTGATACTTTCTCTTTTTGTTGTGTCTCTGCCAAGTTTTAATGTCAGGATGATGCTCGCCTCTTAAAATGAGTCAGGGAGGAGTCCCTCTTTTTCTATTGTTTGGAATAGTTTCAGAAGGAATGGTACCAGCTCCTCTTTGTATCTCTGGTAGAATTCGGTTGTGAATCTGTCTGGTTCTGTGCCTTTGTTGGTTGGTAGGCTATTAATTACTGCCTCAATTTCAGAACTTTTTATTGGTCTATTCAGGGATTCAACTGTTTCCTGCTTTAGTCTTGGGAGGGTGTATGTGTCAGGAATTTATTAATTTCTTCTAGATTTTCTAGTTTATTTGTGTAGAGGTATAATATTCTTTGATGGTAGTTTGTATTTCTGTGGGATCAGTGGTGATATCCCCTCCATCATTTTTTATTGTGTTTATTTGGTCTATACAATATTCTCTGATGGTAGTTTGTATTTCTGTGGGATCAGTGGTAGTATCCCTTTTGTCATTTTTTATTGTGTATATTTGATTCTTTTCTCTTTTCTTCTTTATTAGTCTGGCTAGTGGGCTATTTTGTTAATCTTTTCAAAAAACCAGCTCCTGGATTCACTGATTTTTTTGAAGGGTTTTTTGTGTCTTTACCTCCTTCAGTTCTGCTCTGATCTTATTATTTCTCATCTTCTGCTAGGTTTTCAATTTGTTTTCTCTTGCTTCTCTAGTTCTTTTTTTTTTTGAGATGGAGTCTCCGTTGCTGAGGCTGGAGTGCCGCCTACCAGGTTCAACTGATTCTCCTGCCTCAGCCTCCCCAGTAGCTGGGATTTCAGGCACATGCCACCATGCCCTGCTAATTTTTTGTATTTTCAGTAGGGACAGGGTTTCACCATGTTGGCCAGGCTGGTCTTGAACTCCTGACCTCAGGTAATCCACCTGCCTCAGCCTCCCAAAGTGCTGGGATTACAGGCATGAGCCATCATGCCCAGCCACTTCTCCAGTTCCTTTAATTGAAATGTTTTGGTGTCAGTTTTAGATCTTTTCTGCTTTCTCCTGTAGGCATTTAGTGCTATAAAATTTCCTTCTAAACATTGTTTTAGCTGTGTCCCAGAGATTCTGGTGTATGTTGTGTCTTTGTTCTCATTGGTTTCAAAGAACTTATTTATTTCTGCCTTAATTTCATTATTTACGCCCAGTAGTCATTCAGGAGCAGGTTGTTCAGTTTCCATGTAGTTGTGTGGTTTTGAGTGAGTTTCTTAATCCTGAGTTCTCATTTGATTGCACTGTGGACTTGGGATATTTTAAGGGACCATGCAAAAGCATTCATGGATTCCTGGGATCCAATTTCAATTTTTTGTTTTTTCTTTGCAGAATGTTCGCATTTTACCACATACAGTTCTTTACATGGCTGATTCAGAAACTTTCATTAGTCTGGAAGAGTGTCGTGGCCATAAGAGAGGTAAATATCAAAAGAAAAGGTTTTGTTTCTGTTTTTTTCATTATGTGCCTTCTGTTTGGAGTTCAATATTGTACTCGTCCTGAGAGTTAACTGACTGTCTGAGGCTCTGCGACTGCCACCTGTAGTATGTGTGAAAAAAATCTATCTTTGAACCTTGACAAACCCTTTCTGCTTCAGATTGATTTCTAAACCTTGTACTGCAGTTGAAACAAATTTGTTAAAAAGGTGTTTTTCTCATTTCGAGATGCTTTAATTCTCCAGGCACCTTTTATTATTAAAATAGGATGTATGACTTTGGCTATTCAGGCATTTTACTGTATTGGAACATGAAGTCTCATTTACGAAAGTTACGTATGGAAATGGTGCATTTTTGGCTTGCTGAGGGAAACGGCAGAATGGTATCCAAGATGGGCACACTGATGCCCCAAGTTAGACTTAGATAATGGATTCTCATTGTCTCATTTGAATCCAGTTATCTGTTTATGCAGTCAGATAGTAGTTATGCTGCAATATCAGCTGAACAGAAACGTACAGTAGCAAATCTAAAATTCAGCTGTTACTGCTAAATTTGACATCGTTGGAGCAAAAGCAATATATGAACAAAGGGGAAAGGCAGGCTAGTGATGCAAAAGATCAGATTTAGAATTTAAAAACCAGGGCCAAAACAGGTAAAGTGTTTGTTTTAATCTAAGCTCTTAGACCTTTATGTAGAGCATTCTGGTGTCAAGTAACTTCAAGATTTCCAGTATTTGCTTTTTTACTTTTTCATTCTCAGATTTGACTTAAAATGGATGATAGTTAATCATTTTGCTACTGTATTTTTACAGCAAGGAAAAGAACTAGTATGGAAACAGCACTTGCCCTTGAGAAGCTATTCCCCAAACGATGCCAGGTCCTTGGGATTGTGACCCCAGGAATTGTAGGTGAGAGAAATTAGCAACTCGATGATTTCCTCCTTGCATTAATGTGGAGTCCTTTGGATTGGTGAATTATTTGTAGCTAAAAACCACATTTATATTTCTGGCCATGTAAAATACAGTAAAGTTAGTCATATTTACCATGGCATTATATTTGACTTATATTAATGTTTATTAAGTTATTTTGGTTAGTATTTCTTATCTCAAGGCTACCTGGATAATGCATATCTAGTAGTCATTCATAAGAAGGGAAAGATCTCATTTTGCCTCCCTCCAAATTAGGAAGTATTTGTGGGCATTTTCAGAGTTTTGTCAGTTTAAGCAGTATTGTTTCTGGTGGGTGGGGGTGAGATGGGCTGGGGTTAGGAGCAAAGATGAGCCTTATTAGGAAACTTCTGTTTCTCTGCTTTGCTACCACTGTTTGACTTCTGTAGCGCGAGGTTATGCCCCTTGCTATGCTTGATTGCTGCTGGTAAATTTTGCTGGTTTTTATTGTTTTTGATTCTTTTCTGTAGCTAATTGGGGGAGGAGAGATTCTGTTGAGGCAGTAATGAGGCAGTGGTTAGATACCTGGATCGGAATGCCAGCTGTGCCAATTAATATCTGTAGGACTTTGAGCAAGTTACTTAACTTCATGGGGCTTCACTGTCCTCATCAAGGAAGTGGAGACGATGACAGTAGTACCTTCTTTGGCGGGTTGTGAGGATTAATGAGTTAACACTTGGAAAGCATTTACACTAGGGAGACACAGAAAGCAATAAGTAAATGTTAGCTGTTATTTTATTTTTTGAGATGGAGTTTTGCTCTTGTTGCCCAGGCTAGAGTGCAATGGCATGATCTCAGCTCACTGCAACCTCCACCTTCTGGGTTCAAGTGATTCTCCTGCCTCAGCCTCCCAAGTAGCTGGGATCACAGTTGCCTGCCACCACCACACCTAGCTAATTTTTGTATTTTTAGTGGAAACCGGGTTTTACCATGTTGGCCAGGCTGGTCTCGAACTGGTGACCTCAGGTGATCCACCACCTCAGCCTCCCAAAGTGCTGGGATTACAGGCATGAGCCACTGCACCTGGCCGCTGTTATGTTTTTTTGTTTCAACTCAGTAGTATTCTACTGAGTTATTATTTTTAATCTTCATTGAAAAATTTTTTTATCTGAATTTAAGAGTCTTGTACAGTGAGGTCAAAAGGATTTCATGTGTTTACAAATGAATATTATTTGTTCAGTTGCTGTAGCTTTGGTTTCTAAAAGGCTTAACATTTTTAAAAAAAAGAATTTATTTCCTTTTGGCCGGGTGTGGTGGCTCACACCTGTAATTCCAGCACTTTGGGAGGCCAGGGCAGGTGGATCACACTTGAGGTCAGGAGTTTGAGACCAGCCTGGCCAACATGGTGAAACACCATCTCTACTAAAAAGTGTAAAAATATTAGTCAAGTATAGTGGCTCATGCCTGTAATTCCAGCTACTCAGGAGGCTTAGGCAGGAGAATTGTTTGAAACCAAGAGGCAGAGGGTACAGTGAGCTGAGATTGCACCACAGCATTCCAGCCTGGGTGACAGAGTGAGACTCTTGTCTCAAAACAAAAAGTTTGTTTTTCTTTATACTAGTAATATTTATTATTAGAAAAAGAAAAATTATAAGATTCAGATAAGCAAAAGCAAAAAAAAGGTACCTTTAAGCACCACAGAGTTAACCACTCTATTATGATGTTAACCTTTATTTCCATATGTATGTAAATATAAACCAGAATGGGCTGGGTGTGGTGGCTCATGCCTGTAAACCTAGCACTTTGGGAGGCCACGGTGGGTGGATCCTGAGGTCAGGTGTTCAAGACCAGCCTGGCCAAGATGGTGAAACGTCATCTCTACTAAAAATAGAAAAATTAGCCGGGCGTGGTGGCAGACGCCTGTTCTTCCAGCTACCGAATCAGGAGAATTTCTTGAACCTGGAGGGGTGGAGGTTGCAGTGAGCCGAGATCGTGCCACTGCACTCTAGTCTGGGCAACAAAGTGAGACTCCGTCTCAGAAAAAAAAAAAACAAAAACACAGAATATAATTTTCTTTAGACTTGTAACCTACTATGTTAGTCTGCTAGGGCTACCATAACAAAATACCACAGATTGGGTGGCTTAAACAATGGAAGCTTATTTTCTCACAGTTTGGGAGGCTGAAGTCCAAGATCAGGGATGGTCCCTCTGAAGCTTGCTTACAGCTGCTTTCACGTGGCCTTTTCTTTGTACATAAGCCTGCCTGGTGTCTCTTCCTCTTCTTTTCAGGACACTAGGCCTGTTGGATTCGGGCCCTACCCTTATCACCTCATTTAATCTTAACTATCTTTTAAAGGCCTTTTCTCCAAGTATAGTCACATGGTGGGGTTAGGGTTTCAACATGAATTTGGGGTAGGCAGTGAGGAGGGGATGACACAATTCAATCTGTAATATCTACCTTTAAAATTCAGAGCATATTACAAACATATTTCCATGTCTATAAATATATATTTGTCATCATTTTAATGGCCATATTCTATCAATGTAATTTTTAATCTGCATACCAGTGTGGGACATTCAGGTTTTTCATTTTCTATTTAAAATTATATGATACAATAGTTGACTATACATATACTTGATATAATTGTGAAATATTTTTAGGGTAAACTTTTAAAAATTGGAATTGCTGTGAAAGTGTATTTACTATCCCCCAACTTTTTATTTTGAAAAAAATTTCCTATCTATGGAAAAGTTGAAAGAATAATAGAATAGCATGATAAATGTCCATATACCCTTTATCTAGCTCAGCAGCTGAAACATTTTGCCACATTTATTTTTTCTCACTTTGCTTATAAGAAAATTCTTTCTGAGCTATTTGAAAGTTCAATTGCAAACATGGCACTACACCCTCAAACTGTCAGAGCTGGGAAACTTTTACTCAGGTAGTGGCTTGTTAGCTTGATGATTATCTGAGTGACCTAAACTGTAGTTATCTAGTTTTTACTGAATCTATTGGTGAAACTGTTTAAATTTTTCTCTAGTGACTCCAATGGGATCAGGTAGCAATCGACCTCAGGAAATAGAAATTGGAGAATCTGGTTTTGCTTTATTATTCCCTCAAATTGAAGGAATAAAAATACAACCCTTTCATTTTATTAAGGATCCAAAGAATTTAGCATTAGAAAGACATCAACTCACTGAAGTAGGTAAGTTACTTTTATTTATCATTAACTGCTCATTTTATTGATTAATTTTGTTTTGTTTTTAATTCTGGCTAGTCGGTGGATATTAGGTTCCTTTGGGAGAATCTAAAGTAAGTACACTTGTTACTGGAGATGTGACTAATTCAAACAGGTGATTCACAGAGGCCAGTATGACACACTTTTGGTAGAACTGATTTACTTTTAAAATTATTTTACTCACATTAAAGCCCAAGAAAATCAGAGATGAAAATTTTTTCATAAATTACTCTGTCGATAATAAACTTGTTTGTATTTAATTCTGAATTTTAAGGAATTCTTGCTCTAATAGTTTCTTTCATTTTGCTCTATTTTTGTTTTATTAATCTATTCTTTTTTATTCTAGTAACAAGCGTTTTAGAAGTTTTTAGAAGATGCAGGTTAGTTCTTTGTCGACTGATTAGAAGTATGGAACAAGTAAAGTGACCCTGATGAGTGTTCGGGAAGGTGTGAATTAAGCCAAGTCTATCAAGCAAGGGGTATGCTGGGAAACATCCATAGGTAGTGTGGATGGAGCCCTGAAGTGAATTTGATAGTTAAAGGGTTGGCTGAATGTCTAAGCTTGGATGGGAAAGCTTAACTTAATATATAATAAATAACAAACCAGCTACTCAAGGAAAGCAGCATTAAAGCCTTTTATTTACATCTACAAATGAACTGATGGGATTCACTTAATTGATTAAAAGAATAACTGTTAAAAATCACTGTTGGCATAAAAGCTATTCAGTGGTAACACCTCATTTCTGCATAGGATTAGCCAGCCTGTAGAGATAAACCTCCATTATTTGAAATGGGACTTAACCTAGCAGGAGTAAAAAAAATTGTGTAGCAGCAAAGGTAAAATTCATTTTACTGATGAGGAAAAAAGGGGGTATGAACATTAAGACATGTTTTTACAACTGTCCATGACAATGTAAAAAAAAAAAAAAAGTGCAAGTGGTTGGTAGATGGGAGGGGAAGCATAGACCAAAGGCATTAGAAGCAAAGACTAGCAGCCGGGAGCCTCTTAATAATGTGGAAGAGGGTGGTCAGGTCCACATAGATGGTGGAAAGTTTCAACAGCCAGCTCTGTTGAACACAGGGAAGGGTAGCTATCAAGAATGCTGACTTAGAAATGAAATCAGTATGTTCAAGAAATACCTGCACTCCCATGTTTATTGCAGCACTGTTCACAATAGCTAGGATATGGAATTAACCTGAGTGTCCATTAACCGATGAGTGGATAAAGAAAATGTGGTATATATACATAATGAAATACTATTCAGCCCTAGAGAATTTGCACCAGCATGGATGAACCTGGAGGGTGTTATGTGAAATAAGCCAGGACCAGAAAGATGAATAGTGCATGATCTCACTCGTGTGGAATCTAAAAAAATTGCTCTCATAGAAATGTAGAGTTGAATGGCAGTTACCAGGGTCTAGAGTGGTTGGGAGTGGGTTTGGGGAGATGATGGTCAACGGATACAAAATGCATCTGGGAGGAATAAGTTCTAGAGGTCTGTTGTACAACATGGAGACTATAGTCGGTGACCATATATTCTTTTTTTTTTTTTTTTCAGAGAAGAGTCTCACTTTGTCACTCAAGGTGGAGTGCAGTGGCTTGATCTCAGCTCACTGCAACCTCCACTTCCTGGGTTCAAGTGATTGTCATGTTTCAGACTCCTGAGTAGCTGGGACTACAGGCTATGTGCACCACTATGCCGGGCTAATTTTTTTTTTTCTGTCTTTTATTTGAAATGGGGTTTCACGATGTTAGCCAGGCTGGTCTCAAACTCCTGGCCTCAAGTGATCTGCCTGTCTTGGCCTCCCAAAGTGCTAGGATTACAGGTGTGATACATCTTGAAGATTGCTGAGAGAGTGACTGTTACCTCAAAAGTGGTAACTATATGAGATAATGTATATGTTAAGTAGTTAGATTTAACCTTTCCTCAGTGTATATGTACTTAAAAACATCATGTTATACATTGATAAATACATACAATTTTACTTGTCAGTTAAAAAATAAAGAAATAGAAGGATGGCAGGCTTGTAGCTGCCCTAGTTCTGCTACTTTCTGGCTCTCCAATTAGGGCAAGCTTTTAAATTTTCTAAACCTCCATTTTTCTCATCTGTAAAGTGGAAACAACTAACAGTGAATTCACAGAATTGTGAAGATTTAAGAGTGCTTTAGCTCATTCAGAAGCCATATGCCAGAGGAGCATGCACGTGTCTTGGCTTGAAGTGACAATGATGGCCAGTGTTTATGGAGGTACTGTATGCCAGGTATTGTGCTGCGCTGCACTTCTCACCTTCACAGCTTTGCCACATAGAATTATTTATGGAATATTTTCGATGAGGAAACTGAACTTTAATGGCAGTAGAGAGTTAAGGCTCTTAGGGTATGTAAATAGCAGAGTTAGCAGAAATTTTAAAGCTATCCTAAATTAAGAATGCCAAACCTCCTTTGGAAAGAGGTCAGATAGTGCCTTTAAAATTGACCCTTTGTTAAGTGTAAAGGCAAAATGAATTTTAGGAGCAGATGTGGCTATGTACTGACCTTATGTGATCTTGTCATAACATAGTGAGACTTGATATTGGTAGGCTAGCAGGAGCTAACAAAGTTCAACAAACTAGATGTTAGAAAATAGTAGGTCTGAAGCTCAAAGGAAGGCTGTGGTCAGACATGTTGGTTTGAGAGCCATTTGCATGTTGCCTGGCAGTCTGTCTGTAAACGCATCAAGTGCCTTTGAAGGCCTTGGAGTAAGCCAGTCCAGGGCAACTTAGCCCAGATTCTGAAAAGATTCACAGCAGCAAATTTAGTGTAAGGAAGGAAGATGACAAATGTGTTGCTGTTGATGAGATGGCTGTCTGTATTCAGTTGGCTCATAACGTAGAAATCCTACATTTGTTTTATTCAGGCTGGGTATGGTGGCTCATGCCTATAATTTCAGTGCTTTGGGAAGTTGAGGCGGCCAGCCTGGAGAATATAGTGAGACCTCATTTCTACAAAAAAAACCTAAAAAACTAGCCAAGCATGGTGGCATGCACCTGTAGTCTCAGCTATTTAGGGGGCTGAGGTGGGAGGATTGCTTGAGCCCAAGAGGTGGAGGTTGCCATGAGCTGAAATCATGCCACTCTACTGTAGCCTGGGCGACAGAGTGAGACCCTGTCTCAAAAAAAAAAAATTTTTTTTCAGCATGTTAAAGGTATCATAACTGGATGCAGATTCTGTCTCAGTGACATTCCAGAAAAGGTATGAAGGATACATATACGGTCATGTGTTGCTCAGTGAAGGGGATGAGTTCTGAGAAATGCATCTTTAGGTGATGTTGTTGTTATGCAAACGTCATAGTACTTACGCAGACCTAGATGTACAGCCTACTATACCTAGGCTGTGCGGTATAGCCTGTTGCCCCTAGGCACAAACCTGGACAGGATGTTACTGTACTGAGTACTATAGGCAGTTGTAACACAATTGTAAGTATTGGTGCATCTGAACATATCTAAACATTAAAAAGACACAGGGAAAACAAGATATGACATACAGTATACCTCTCTAGGGCACTTAACATGAATGAGATTTGCAAGACCAGAAGTTGGTCTGGCTGAGTCAGTGAGTGGTAAGTGAATGTAAAGGCCTAGCGCTGTATAGCCCTGTGGAGTACAGTTTGTAAACACTGTATGCTTAGACTACACTAAATTAATTTAAAAATTTTTGTTTGGCCAGGCACAGTGGCTCAAGCCTGTAATCCTAGCACTTTGGGAGGCCGAGGTAGGTGGATCACTTGAGGGTCAGGAGTTTGAGACCAGCCTGGCCAACGTTGTGAAACCCCATCTCTACTAAAAATGCAAAAATTAGCCAGGTGTGGTGGCACGTGCCTGTAGTCCCAGCCACTTAGGAGGCTGAGGCAGGAGAATTGCTTGAACCCAGGAGGTGGAGGTTGCGGTGAGCCAAGATTGCGCCATTGCACTCCAGCCTGGGTGACAGTGAGACTCTGTCTCAAAAAAAAGAAAAAAAAATTTCTTCAATATTAAATTAACCATAGCTTACTGTAACTTTTTTACTTTTTAAATATTTGCTTTTTTTTTTTAGCTCTTAAACTCTTCTGTAATAACCCTTAGCTTAAAACACAAACACATTGTACAGCTAGATAAAAAGTTTTCTTATATCCTTAATTTATTTTTTTAACTTTTTAAGCTTTTTGTTAAAAACTAAGACACACACACATTAGCCTAGGTCTGTACAGGGTCAAGACCATCAACATCACTGTCTTCCACCACTGCATCTCGTCCCACTGGAAGGTCTTCGGGGTAGTAATATGCATGGAGCGGTCATCTCCTATGACAACAGTGCCTTCTTCTGGAATGCCTTCTGAAGGACCCTGCCTGAGGCTGTTTTACAGTTAGCTTTTTTTTTTTAATTAGTAGGAGGAGTAATCTCTAAAATCACAATAAAAAGTGTAGGATAGTAAATCTAAGCCAGTAACATAGTCATTCATTGTCATCAAGTATGATGCATTGTGCATGACTGTATGTGCTATACCTTTATACGCCTGGCACTGCAGTAAGCTTGTTGACAACAGCATCCCCACAGACATTTGAGTAATGCTTTGTGCTACACGCGAGACAGTAGGAATTTTGTAGCTGTATTAATCTTCTGGCACCACTGTTGTATATGCTTACTGTGTGCGTCACCACGCCTGGCTGTCCTTAACTGAAGTGTTATGTGGTGCTTGACTGTATCATAACCCAGTGAGCATGTGAGGTGTGCTGTGAGAGCAGAATGGGTAGATTGCCGTAGGGTTTCTGCCAGTGGGAGGGATCAAGAAGGCTTTCTGGAGCAGGTGGTATTTAAGCCCTTGAAGGATGGAACGCATATGAGAGATACAGATGAGTAATAGCACTTGCTAAAGGAATACAGAAACACAGGCACAGAGCCAGGAAATCCCAGAATATGTTGGAGAAATAGTAATTGTTTTGAAAGCAAA